CCCATAGCACAGTGTGGTTAAGGTGCCAGCCACATACACCAAGGCTGATGGGTTCAAAAACAGCCTGGACCAGCTAAACATCAATGACAACTGCAACAACAACAAAAAAAGCCAGGCATTGTGGTGGGTACCTGTAGTCCCAGCTACTTGGGAGGATGGGGCAAGAGAATCGCTTAAGCCCAAGAGTTGGAGGTTGCTGTGAGCTGTGATACTAGGGCACTCTACCCAGGGTGACAGAGTAAGACTTTGTCTCAAAAAAAAAAAAAGAAAAAAGAAAAATAGAAAAAAAGAAACTACACCAAGACACATCACAATCAAAAAACTCTGATAAACAGAAAATCTCAAAAACAGCCAAAGGAAAGACATACATTGAAGACCAGAAAAAATATCTGTCAGTAGAAATGACCTGCACTACCAAGACATGTTAGAAGAATCCTCAGGCAAAAAGAGTATGGTACCAAATGGATACCAAGATCTACACAAAAGAATGAAGTGCCCCAGAAATGTGTGGCATAATGTAAATTTCTTCTTTTTCTTATTTTTTTCAAATCACCTAAAAGAGGGCTCGGTGCCCATAGGTCAGTGAATATGGCACCAGCCACATAATACAGAGGCTGGCAGGTTCCAGCCCAGCCCAGGCCTGCTAAACAACAATGACAACTGTAACCAAAAAATAGCCAGGCATAGTGGTGGGCACCTGTAGTCCCAGCTACTTGGGAGGCTGAGGCAAGAGAATCACTTAGGCCCAAGAGTTTGAGGTTGCTGTGAGCTATGACACCATGGCACTCTACCAAGGGCAACATAGTGGGACACTGTCTCAAAAAAATAAAAATAAATAAAAATAAAACACACAAATCTGGGTGGCACCTCTAGCTCAAGTGGCTAAGGTGCCAGCCACATACACAGAGCTGGTGGGTTCAAATCTGGCCTGGGCCTGCCAAACAATGAAAATTACAACCAAAAAATAGCTAGGCATTGTGGTGGGGCCTGTAATCGCAGCTACTTGGGAGGCTGAGGCAAAAGAATCTCTTAAGCCCAAGAGTTGGAGGTTGCTGTGAGCTGTGACGCCACGCACTCTACCCAGGCCGATAGCAAAACACACACACACACACACACACAAATCTTTTCCAGAAACCCTCCTAACAAATCCCACCCTGGTCTGGTTAATTCACTTGTCCCAGCATTTATTCATTCATTTACAAAGTAGTCCCTGTTTTCTAGAAAACAACCTCTTACCACTCATGAAAAATTTCACAGACTCTCTGAATCAGACTTAATTACAGTAAGGCAAAAACACAGTATCTACTATGTGTACCATAGGTTCCAATAGCACCTACTACTGAAACTCTACAAAGAAACATTATTAAGTGTTGACTCCACCAGCACCCTATTATGCTACCAAGACCGACAGGATCTTTAATACTGCAGTTTTTACGTAACAAAATCCGAACAGATGCATTAACAGCTACCAAACTTAAAACGGTTCTGACAGTGTCCTTAATAATGTGTTTTGTCTCTGAATACCACTTTTAAAAGTTCAGTATCTTGGTTCAAAACTGATTTGTATCTCTGCATACCCCAAAGCATTAGTACCGCTAATAAAGTAAGTTACCCATTATCTGACACCGTTCAGTTCATGAAAACAAAAAAAGTGTTCCCTTCTACAAAGTAACCCAGTAGGAATGGGTCTAAGTTTTCTCCGGGTCTCAAGAGACACTGAATGAGGCATAGGAACACGACAAGTTACCTCGACGTTGTCTGTGAGACCGTACTCAGAGTGAGGATTTTCTGTAACCTAGAAAACAAAACACGAGTCAGAGACATAACCCCTGTGCCCTTTCTCCCTGCCTCCTTGCACGCCTCCACCCTGAATCCAGGGCCTCATGGTACCTGCGTCTGTCCCTCCAGCATCTGCTCCGGCTCCATGGCGGACCCTGCAATTCACACTCCCGGATACTAGTCTTGGAAAACAAGAAAAGCTCCGAGTTACCCGGGAGATTTATTTCACCACTAAGACACCAAGATGTGGAATCCAGCCCAGCCCCCGACCCCGCCCCTCACCCCCACCTGGCCGCGGGAGCACCCAGAGCAGGAGAGCAGCAAGGTGGGAAAGTCCACGACCAAGTACCCACATCAAGTCCGTAAGCTCTGCGGCAGTCCCAAGGACCTAGAATAAGTGGGAAAGGGGGGAGGGAGTTAATTACCTGCGCCCAAGCCGTTTGTTCGTAGGAGCTCTGCACCGCTCCACCAACTCCCGGCCCGAACCGCTCCGGCCGTAAGTGACGGATGTCGCGCGACTGGCGCGCGTGCGCAGAGCTTCCTGGAGGGCCTTGGGATGGGCTTCCAGATGGTTTCGACTTTAGAAGGTTGTCTGTGGTCTACAGTGTGTCCTGACTCAGGTCTAGTATCACCGGGTGGGACTCCTACGAGGATCGTTTCTCAGCCTTCCCTCCAGCGCGAGCGCCACCCAGCTGCAGGCCCCACGGACCAGCTCAGGGGGCGAGGCTTGGCTTCATGAACTCCCGGTGCTGCCGGAGTCGACTGCAGCTCTTTCTCAAGGAACTGAAACCGCTAACTCCTGGAGTGTTCTTACTAGAATGTCCTAGGCCGGCCAGGCGCGGTGGCTGACGCCTGTAATCCCAGCGCTTTGGGAATGCCGAGGCAGGTGGATCGCAGGAGCTCACGAGTTTGAGACTAGCCTGAGCAAGAGATCCGGTCTCTAGAACTAGCAGGGCGTTGTGGCGGGCGCCTGTCGTCCCAGTTGCTTGGGAAGCTGAGGCAAGAGGATCCCTTAAGCCTAAGAGTTTGAAGTTGCTGTGAGCAATAACGCGACAGGGAGACTGAGTGAGACTCTGTCTCAAAAAAAAAAAAAAATCCTAGGCCCTGGTTGATCAATAAATGATACAATGTCAGTGTTACACTTTAGAGCCAAAGGCAGGGGAAGAAGCAGTGTTTGGGGGGTTTGTAGTCAGCCTTATTCAAGACTTTGAATCTGTGAATTGCAATGTTATTCTACCTTACTTTTGTATTAAGATTAGTAGTATGCTAGCTCAGGGGGTAGGACGCCCACCACATACACTGAGGCTGGCGGGTTGGAACCCAGCCCAGGCCAGCTAAACAACTGCAAAAAAAAATTGCCCGCCGTTGTGGCTGGCACTTGCAGTCCCAGCTACTTGGGAGGCTGAGGCAAGAGAATCGTTTAAGCCCAAGAATTGGAGGTTACTGTGATTTGTGATGGCAGAGTACTCTACCGAGGGCAACATAGTGAGACTCTGTCTCAAAAAAAGAAAAAAAAAATTAGTAGTATGCAACTAGCTCTCCTAATGATGGCCCTGTTGATAATACTGTGTTTCTAAAAAATATACAGGATAATTTGCCTCCTACACACAATTTGTAAATAGCAAATGGGATCTGGTGAATTGGATGGTTTTAATTCCAATAAATTCAATTTATCTTAATTTTAAAATGATAACACTAAAACTTCCTGGCTTTGACAAAATCCGACTTGTAGTTGTACTTTGAAATATGCAAACTTGAAAATTTAATATCAAATATTTGGAGACTAAATTATGGCATATCAATATGATGGAATAGAAGCCATTCAAATTAAAAATCATGACTATTGGCTTGGCACCCATAGCTCAGTTGTTAGGGCACCTGCCACATACACAGAAGCTGGCAGGTTCAAACCCAGCCTGGGGCTAGCTAAACAATGACAACTGCAACAACAAAAAAAAGAAAAAAAATAGCCGGAGCTACTTGAGAGGCTGAGGCAGGAGAATAGCTTAAGCCCAAGAGTTTGAGGTTGCTGTGAGCTGTGACACCGCGGCGTACTCTACTGAT